AATTCTATAAAAGAAAATTATAACATCCAGTTTCTACATACACAACTTGCACATGATTTTGGCTCAGCTTATGAATTGTATTTTTTAATACAAATATCTTCCCCTTAAGAGAGAGGAATTATTGTTGTTATTATCATCGTCATTATCATTATTATTATTATTATACCTTATAGTATTGATACATCATAAAAATAGGTATGAAACATAATTTTCAAGTGAGAGCATGTGCTGGAAGAAGCTGTGACAGGAGAGCAAGACTTAAAGGCTTTAAAAGGTTAAACTCTATCTAAAATGCTAAATATGGGCTAAATAAGCACAGCAGAACCCTATTAGCCCGTATAACTAAAAACAAGTGAGCTCTTTTTTTAATGATACCAAAAAATAGCAAGCCTTGTAAACAGAAGATACTTTCTATATTAGATATCTTCAGAAAAGCCAGGGCAATGCCTTGATTTATAGAAATAAACACCAACCATCAGAATGCCTTTACAACCACACTAATTTCCCCTTATTTTCTGTGTGTGTTAAGGTGTCCCATTTCAAAGTGGAAAGCCAATGGATGTATACAGTGCAAATATTAGAATATAAAAATAAATTTCCATTATACCATTGTACCATATGTTCTATCGGATTAAGAAATTTTGACTCTCTGAAAAAAATTATAATTAAGAATTTTAAAAAATACTGGAAATTGATAATAATTTACCAATATTTAAGCATTGTAAAAATTGTTATTAAATATGTCATGAAACAGAAAATTATTTAACAAGTTAAAAAGCAACATGGTAATCCATCTGATAATTTGGAGCGGCCTGATGAATTTAATAGTGAGTTCTAGAAGTTGATCAACTACCAAAACAAAACTGGGGAATTAAATCTCTATATTTCAAAACAGAATAGATAATTTTTTCTTACAAAGACAAGAAATTAAAAGAAAATGAGGAAGGAATATGAAACTCCATAATGAAAGAGCAGGATGTGCAATGACTTCTAATTAGTTAAATTTTAATAAGAAAGATTTATAAGCAGCTAGGAAAATGTTCATGGTAGCAGATGATAAATACGCTCCTGCAAGCATGATAAAGACATTTTGCCATAGTCTTCTTCTAGTTTGAACACCACTGAACATTTACTTGCTGAGCTAATTGAGCCATTATTCAAGTCTTCTGAAAAGATTTTGTTACTGTATTACAGTATTTGCTACGTCTCTAGATCATTACCCTCTTATTTACATGATGAGAGAATCATATCAAAGTTGGTTGGAAGTGAATTCTCGAGGTCATCTAGCCCAAGCCTCCTAGTCAAAGCAGGGCTCTCGCCAACACCAGCAGGTCAGGTCAGCTGTGGTTGTGTCTCACCCAGTCTCTAAAGCCCCTAATGGAGGTGGCTCCAGCACCCGTGGGCAGCCTGTGTCAGTGCCACAGCACCTCCCAGTGAGGAATCTCCTCCAGGTGTCCAGCTGGGACTTCCCACACGTCAATTTGCAGCCATTGCTGTCTCACCTGACACTATGGAGAAGAGTTTGGCTCTGTCATCTCTGTAACCGCCCTTCAAATAGTTGTGGGCTGTTCCTAGATACCTCTTTGACTGCCTCTTGGTGAGAGTAAACAAAGCCACCTCCCTCAGCCTCAGCACATATGTGCCCTGTCCACCTTTATAGCTTTATGCTAAACCCCATTCCCTTCTTCACATCTTTCTTGAGTTTTAGGGTGAGGGGCCACGAAACTGAGCATGGTTTTACAGGTGCAGCCTCACCAGTGCCAGTAGATGAGTTATAAGAACTTCCATCTATCAATGGGATTTCTTTTGCCTTTCTTTTCTGTCCAGCTTCTCTATTGGTTTAAGGCACTTCTGTAGTTGTACGGGATTAGTGAAGAGGAAGTAAGTGACAGAAGTAGATTTGCCTTCTCTTGGCATGTAATTTAACTGCAAGCCTTCTTCTCTTCTCAGGAACGCCTCAGATATACATTTCCCAAGAGCATATAAAGTTGAAATAGGTGGCAAGGTTACCCTGGCATGAAGGGATCAAGGAACTTGAAAAAGATCTTGCTGCCTCATAGATGATGATCCCAGAAAAATCAAAGAGGTTATAATCTTAGTATTGAGCCTTGCCCAGGAGACCGTCAGCATGTTTGAAATGGCTGAGCTGAGCTGGACACAAGGCAAGTGGTCTTTCTGGTGAGATGACGTTGTTTCAGAAGGGCATAAAAAATGCGGTTACTTACACAGCAAGGTCCTGATAGCTGGACAGGTCAAATTTTTTAGTGTGACGAATTGAGAGACCAACAGGCAAAAGTCTTATCTGAGAGAGGATGTGGCATGATGCAGACCTGGTCTTGGAGCCAGTTAGCCATGCTTTGATCTCAGTAGCATGTGATTATAGATAGGAAAAAATAAATTCCCTACTGCAGCCTGCAACCTGAAAGCCAGAGACAGAAGGAAGCACTGGAGACTGGACAGCTTGACAAAATCTCTGGAGACAGCACAGTAAATCAGCTTGCAAGCTGGGGCCCAGTTAACACAGATGCCATTCAGAACAGCCTGGTTTCTCCCAACAAGGAAGGTTCATTCTTCCTGGTGACAGCAGGAGTTTGTAGGGACTCTGACTGATTTGTCTGGAAAAGCCAAACCAGATGACACGCACTGGACAGAGAAATGCCAAACGACTTTGACTAGCTAAAAAAGCCTTCTGGCTATTGATCCCCCACAGTGAGTCAAGAAGTGCCTCCAAACTGAGTTAATGTCCTGGTATGCACGGGAGCAGACACATCCCCCCTCCCCCAAAGGCTGCACTACTGAGGGCAGAAGTCAATCTGCCCCTCCCTTGCATGACTAGACTCTCTTTACATAAAAAAAAAAAAAAAGCACAATGTAGAAGCAGTAAACTATCACCAAAAAGTTCCAAATACGACCAGAATAAGTGATGTTTTTTAACTGTTCTTTTTTTTCAGACTTTGAATATTGCATAGCATTTTCCAACATCAGTCAGGACCTTTATGCCTCAAAGAGCAATAGAAGCTTCCATTTTTTCAATACTTTTCTTTTTTTTTTCTTTCCTTTAAGCAAAGTCACAAATGAATTAAGCTGTAGAAGCCCTCTGGTTCAGTTAGAATGATCCTCTGTAAAACATAAGTTCCCAGTGTCGGTTCTTGTTTTTATAATCTCTGACAGGAAACCCATAGTCTAATTATGCTTTTCAATGAACATAATGTTATATGTAATAACTGTTAAGTGGGACATGACACTGCCATTATAATCCTAGAACTGACAAGGTAGCCCCTATATGAAATCCTTTGTACCCAGGAAATGTACCAACAGATAAAGAATTCTTCTATTTAATAATTAATTTTCCTTCATTTCTGAACTGATGATACTTCAATAGATGGTAACTCAGAAAGAGAGATGCTCAAGGAAACACTGAAGAAGAATCATAACATCAGTGAAAAGCAACTTAGTAAAAAACTTCTTCTTATGAAGAGATGAGATGGCTAGAGATATTTAGAAAAGGAAGACTGAGGAAGTACTTAGAGTCTTGAAAAACTATGATTTAAGAATAATTATGAGATGTGCATTACCCATACAACATGCTATCTCTCTTCACATTCAGGTGAATACCTAGTAAAATTGGGTTTAAATTCCTTGTTCTGTGCAAACTGTATTTTCTGCTACTTTACCAGGTAAATCTCTGCTAACTTGTCAAGTCATCAAAAGCTTAGGAAAGCTACAGCATATGATATTTTCAGCATAATCATACCAAAAATCCATCCAAGTAAGCCTGGCAGAATCTGCATACTGAATATTGCTGAAGTAAATTTATATTTCTCTACAACAATTACTCTTTTGCAAGCTGCTTCCCCTAAATGTATTCCTCTATACCTTTATTCCATCCTCAGGTAAAATTCTCACTGACTTCACTGGGAGTTTCTTGGAAGAGATTAATATTGTATAATACTGTAAATCCCAAACCAGATTGGATTTCTTATTCACAATTTCCTCAGTCAAAAATTGACTCTGAAGTTGATGAAAAATTGAGAAGTACAAGTATATCAACACAGAAGAGGAAGTCCGATTCGTTTTCAGAGACAAAGTAGCCATGCCCAACTATTTTTAAATGATTGATGAAGAATGTCATATTCAACAGATAGAAACCCTGCTGAGGTCAAATGAAATGTCTGAATTTATTCCATGTGAGAAAGATGTTGCTATTTTACTATAAGGTAGAGTTTTCCACTGCATATACATCCTTGAAAACTGTCAGTGCTCTTTCTAAGATGAGAGATATTAACTTTTCATGCAGTAAATTAGATTGACACCTATTTTACTATAAGGTAGAGTTTTCCACTGCATATACATCCTTGAAAACTGTCAGTGCTCTTTCTAAAATGAGATTAGATGAGATGACTCATGATGATTGACACATTTTGAAAATGAAACATTTCAAAGACTCTTTTTTGAATTCTCCCATTGGCAATTTAAAATTTCAATAAATCAATAGATGTGCCCTATAAAGATCAACATAAAAGGGACCTTTCAGCTTCATTAGTTCTTTATACCTGTGCAGTCAGTGTTAACTAACAATCAGAATAACAGGATTTTTACAGATTCTTTCTCTAGCATAAAAGGCTGCAGCGGGTGCTGAGAAAAAAATAGGTCTGGGAAGTCTGATGCTAATAATTCAAATGATCTACAGGCTCCATTGATTTCAATGACCTTAGCCAATTTAGACTAACTAGGAATGCAGCACCTTCTGATTAGCTTGCTGTCATGATGAGCTGCTCTTAAAGGAAAGAACAACAGACCTGCATTACCTGCTCCGTTTATACAACAGAGCCATATGGAGACACAGTAGGTCAGAGGGGTTGAAACAAAGTCCAAACATTACAGGAATGGCCAACAAAAGTGCTAATTAAAGAATAAATTGGCCAAGCTGCTTTACCAAATGATTGTCCTGAAAACTTTAGAAAGCAAAGGCTACCTCTAGAGTTTAAAGAGCAGGTTACCTGACGTTTCTGCAGATCAGCAGTGCTGTGGGAAAGCGCAGCACCTGGAATGTGTCCATCACCAGGAGGTTTCCCTGCCCCACTGTCAGGGGAAACGTGGGATGTGGCCAGCAGCTGAGCACTGATGGGACCGTAGCCATTGGGAGTCCGATGAGTGTCATTTGAGGCAGCGACTACTTCATCTTCATCACCAGAGTCCGTAATCAGGATAAACTCAGCCTTAAAAAGGTCATTCTCCTGCATTTCTCCTTTGCTAGAGTTATGCCCCAGGGACTGGAAAGCCGTTCCGGTACTGTCTGTATGGACGGTGGACACACAGTCTTGTCTGGCCCCGCTCTTTAAGGCCAGCTCATCAGAGACTGTGTTCGACTGCAAAAGATACAAGGAAAAAGATCCAGATTAGCTGTATTTTATTTGTGTTCCCCAAAATGCAAAGTAATTTTGGCTTGCAGCTGTGGCTGGCGCTATGCTACCAAAAGCACAGAGGGCAAAAGAAGAATTTGGGCATGAGCCTCCAGCTGAAACCCACTCCCCAGGGAGCCCCCCACCTCCAGCCCCCAGGCTGATGCTGTGGGGCTGCCTTCCCGGCAACTTGCAGAGCAACAAGGGACTCCGAAAGCAGCAACGGCCAAAGCCCGGGGCTGGTGCGGGAACTGAAAAGGAGGGTGCAGTCAAGCCAAATGAGCTGTCAGACCACACTGTGCAGACATGATGGGAAGGCATCCCAACTGTGGGATCCACGGGAGCAGACAATGCTCCTCAGATGAGTCTGACAGACAAATCTGGGACAAAACCTATACATATTAATGAAGAAACAAAGGCCTTTAAGACAGGGAATTCTCTGAAGACAGCAGACAAAGAATCTGAGGTCAGAGAGCTTTACTGTATGTTCAAGCATCCCAGCACAGAACACAATTGTTTTTTTGTATTTTCTACAGTTTCCACTTCCACTGGGTAACTTCTCAAGCATGCTTCAGATGAGAGCAGGTGTAGTGCAAGCTGGGCATGTGACATGCACATCACTAAACCATTCAATATTGAAACTGCTATGGTAAATAATATTTCTCTTGAAGGAGGAATCAGGTAAAAGTATAGATATATTTTGTACTGCAAGATAAAGCTTGTAGATGGGGCTCATAATTGAATCCTGCCTGAGGAATAAATTAGAACTTTTCACTTCACTTGCAGCTCCATACGTCCCTAGAACTCAGTTCTTTAAAATGGTATTTTACTGTAAAGGAGATACCACTAGTGTGACTTCAGAAGTGTCATTTTCATTATCTGATGTTGGCTGGGTTTTTCTAATTTTGTCCAGGTTCTTGACATTTTAGAAAAGGTAGTAATTGATGCTATGAATGCCTCAGTGCTACATGACCTGCCAGCAAAGTTTTTTCTGCCTATAGAGAAACATAAGGAGACAGATGTACAGAAGACCTGATGCTGCTTTACCTGGGGCATTACTTATCGAAACCAATACTGAGTGGCTGGAAATGTAACTAGTGATTTAAACAGCCCGAGGAAAATATTCCAGGTCACGTCTCTTCAAACACATTAATTCCCAGCCCAGACCAACCTCTTTCTAAGTCAGATAGGCCACTGAAAATGCTGGAGCATGTTCAGGTCAGAGGACTGTGAACTCCTGTGAAAAGTTTATTACATGGAGGAACATCAAGAACTGCAGCCCCAGCAATGTCCCAGGGAAGGAGCTGTTACATAAGAGTAGAATCACCATTAGCATTAATATTAACCTCAGGGCTGCAGTTTCCTTTCAAGCAGCATGTAATGAAATAAGAGGCTGTTAAGTGTTGTGAGGCAGGAAAGAAATAACATACACTGTGGGCTGGCCAAAGGAAGAACCAGGAATGGTGTGCTTCACTGTCAGAGGAAATCATGACGGCAAGCTTTCAAAAACAAAAAGCAAGCTTCTGCTTTGATGCATTACTACGCAGCTGTGAAAGGGATTGTCACCTTTGCTGGAAGCCACAGCACTGGCATTTATTGAAACCAGGATCCAGTGACCAACTCTTAGTCAATTCCCACGTGTAACAGTCCTCACACACCACCCTTGCTCCCACGAAGATCAGGAAGGAATTACCCCTCATCTGCCAAGAATATAGCCTTGCATGACTGACAGAGGTTGGTATAGAGATGGGAAAGGGTTCTTCTTCCACTAAAAACTCTGCCAATGGCAAAACAGGCTGTTGAGGAGACAACAGCCTTCTCTTGTGTAATGATCCTGCATCTCTGGTAGGCTTGGTAATTAAAACCAAACACAAGCCAGGAAACAGTTTGAGGGGAAGAGCTTCAGTTCAGCAATGCTCAGGACAAAATTTTCTGTATCTTTTGAAAGACTGGAAAAATTGGCACAAACAAAAATCTACCTTATTTATTATTTCTTGTTTGCTCAGATCCTTTGGCTCCTCTGGAATTGTCACAAGGAACTTAGAGATATCTACAACCTCAAAATGAGTTGGAAGTCTTCCAATGGATGGTATGAATGTGAAGGTCAATGGTTTGGTTCCAGATTCTTGAGAAGTGACCTACAAAACACAAAATTAGTTCAACTTTTTTTGTCCAAATAAAAAATTATGTGTTTGTCAGGGTTGAAACAACATTTACTTCATCTACATAACTTACAAGTCTATTAACAACTATACTGGTCATTGGGTTGTTTCATATTAAGGTCTTTAACTGACAGTATAGTGCCTTGATTATACCCATCATCATCTTATATATTCTAAAGGTGTGGCACAGCAGACAGGAGAAAATTTTTTAAATTCTTTGTTATTCTTTCCATTTTCCATACCAGAAACCAAAAATCATATTCAATTTGTTTAAAGGCTACGTTTATCTTTGTTTAACTCCACTTCAGTAAAACAGTGTAATTATACCACTGTGTCTCATCATAATACTCTGGCCCCTAGAGTATTTGCTTAACAACTAAAAACAAATTGGAAAAACCTTTGCTCTGCAAAAAAAAAGGAAAACATGTTTACATTTTCTAATGAAAATGCAGCTAATTCTGAACAACATCTGGGACGAACTCTGATTCAAGGAAAGGATTTTCTCCCATTTTTTTGAACCATTCAGCCACATACACCAACTCACATACACCAACTAATTGTGTGCCTTTCTTCTTATTTCTCCCTCCCCAACTTGCATTCTCGCTAGGACTGCGTACATAGGGCTTGAATGCACTGAACAGAAGAAAGACTAAAAGAAGGCAATTTCACCTAAACATCCAATTTTGTCACAGTGTTCTCCCATCACTTCCATGTCCTTCGGAGGAGATACTGGACAGGAAAAAGCAGTCCACACAATGGTAAAACTATCAGTTGCTTTGCCAGAGCCTAATATGATGTCTTTCACACTACTTGTTGGTGTGGAAAATCCTTTCTGATTCAAAGCTACATAACTTACAGATTTTTCCTTGTTTCATCGTCTGATTTAAAGCTTATGGCAGTTAATTGTGTTGTCAATGAACTCTAATATGCACAGCCATGAACTATATAGAATCATAGAGAAAAGACGACCACTGCTTTGATAGGTTTTTTTGGCTTACTTGTTTAAAGTAAATTATGGAATAGAGTAGAATTATGGAATACATTCAAAGAATCACAGAATCATAGAATCATA